CCCGGCGTGCGCTTGGGGGGCCCCGAGAGCCTGCCCCAGCCGGAGCAGCAGCGCGCCCAGCACCAGGCAGCTGGCACACGGGCGCATTGTCTGGCGTGGAGAAGAGGAGCCGAGTCCGAGGCGCTCCTGCTGCAGGGCAAGCGATCCAGAGACAGAGCCGAAGCTTGTCCTTGTCCTCCCTTGCCCCATCTCTCGGCCCCTTATATCCGCCTCCCTCGGGGCGCGCGCGAGCCCGGGTGGGGCGCGCGCTCTGATCCACGCCTCCTGTGAATCTGCAGGGCGGCGATTCGAACCGGAGCGTCCCCTCAATCCTGTTCACACACCGACGGGGAGCGCTGCCAGGTTCCATTTGGTCAGGGAAGTTCCCGATCCGGAGTAAGTTCGGGGAAGGCCCGTTTGTCCACCCGGGAGAGAACTGAGGGGGCGATAGAAAAACTTTTGCAATTGCTCGAGAGAGCTAAGAGCTGCTCATCACGGATCCATGAGAGCGGGGGATGCATTAAACTCCCTCAACAGTGATGGAAGGCGACGTTGTCCCAGTGTCACCTGTGCACATCGCTCATAAATCGCGCCTGCAATAGTCCCATCTAACCCCCTGGTGGGGGGAGGAAGGTTTCCGACCTGTCCTGTCGTGCTGATCACGGTAATATGAAAGGATATTGCCCTCCTCCCCCTTCTTCCCTTTCCTTTCCAGCTTGTGGCTCTCTCTTGATGTATTAGGAATAGAGAGGTAGCCCTGTCCGTCTGATCTTGCTAAAACAAAAGGAAAAACTATGTAGCACTTTAAAGACTAACAAGATGGTTTAATAGGTGATGATCTTTCCTAGTCATTGTTGCATTTGAAGGTGCTGAAGCGGCATAGCCGATGAAAGTGCTGTTGTGGTGACTGTACGTAATGCTAGCAACAGCGGTTTATTTCTGCCCCAACGGAAGAGTGTGGCAGCTGCGTTTTTTACGCAAGGAAAAGTTGAGTAAAAGTTTAGAAATAGGGACATTTGGTGGCTGCTGGAAAAGCTGATGCATGGTGACCGTTAGGCCATTGCGTGCCAGGGGCTCAAAATATTAACTTACAAAAAGAATTGGGAGGGTGCCTTAAACACAGGTCATGGGTACTTACATAGCATAGGGAACAGCATTTTGATAATAGAGGACTCTTCAAGCTAGCAGACAAATACTTAACAAGATCAAATGGCTGGAAGTGGAAGCTAGACAAATTAAGACTAGATATGAGGTGCATTTGTATACAATGAGGGCAATTAATCATTGGACCATCTTACTGTCTCCTGATCTTCCTCTGTTGTCCAACTTCGCCCTCATTCCTTTTTACTGCATCCTTACTGTGCTCTCTCTATCTACAATAGCTAGATCCTTGGATCAACAGGGACTTCCTTTTTTTTAATTTGGAAAGTGTGATATACACCTAGAGTCTGTATAAATAAAATATATACAAATAATTAAAAAGAGGCACATTTGATACATTCTAATAAACAACGTTTCTGCAGTAGAGGATATGCACACTAACACTTATACAAGAAATTTTCCAGAAAGGGGGGAAAAAAGCAAAGGGGAAGAAAACTCGCATGGAGTTGTTCATATTGACCCACAAACCACATAGTTTATAGATCTCTCTTTCTCTCTCCACTTCTCAAAGATATTTCTATTATCCATCTGTGTTCACATATTTATAATCAGATTGCAAAGGGATAAATGAATGATTTAGTGACACAGACCAAACTACCTAAATAAATCTGAGCTGTTACTACAAGGACACTCTCATGTTCAGTAATCCTGCTACTGAGACTATTAATAACAGATGTCCTGGGTTTTAGTTAGGGTTATTAGTAGCTTTAGATGTAATGAAACTTGGCTCCCTGTAGTGCAAACCTACATTTCCATTTCTTGGAAAGTCAAAATGTTATTTTTCTAATATTAGCAAAGTCTCAACTGATTTAAATAGAACTAGACTGATGTTCTTTAGAAAGTGTCATATTTGATTAGAATTGAAAAAGAAAAAAAACCTTGACATTTTAAATAAACAGCAAAATGAATACACTCACTTCCACCCTCATACATACAGAAACCAATGTTTAATGTAATCCTATCAGTTTCCCAGTGCAGTGTTATATTTAGTCAATGGCACTTTCTGTTCATCAAGACAATATATTCAAAATGTAGACCTGTTCTTATTAAGAAAGAAGAGACTAATAAAATCACCATAGCAAATGTGTCTTTGTCTTAGGGTATTGTGTAATAAAATGCACAGGTGCAGTGAAATCTTGCTGTTTTGTGGGATTCTATGGAATATAAGGAAATATTATTTTCTCTCTCATATCATAAGAACTAGGGATTACCAAATTAAATTAGGCAGGTTTAAAACTATGCACAGTCAACCTGTGGAACTCTTTGCTAGAGGATGTGAAGACCAAGACTATAACACGGCTCAAAAAAGAGGATTCATGGAGGATGGGCCCATCAGCAGCTATGAGCCAGGATGGGCAGGTGTGGTAAACCTAGTTTCTGTTTGTTAGAAGCTGGAAATGGGCTACAGGGGAAGGATCACTTGATGATTACCTATTCTGTTCATTCCTTCTGGAGCACCTGGCATTAGTCGCTGTCGGAAGACAGGATACTGGGCTATATGGAGTTTTGATCTGACCCAATATGACCATTCTTGTATTCTTATGACATCAGTAGAACCAGTCATGTGCATAAAGTGAATTTGCCTTCATTGTCAAAGTCATTTTGCAAGATAGAATGCAAGATAGAATGCAAGAATCATAGATTTCCTGAATAGGATTTACATTTGACATGTCTGTAAAGATACTATGAAATTGTTCACAAAGTCCTCTACCAATCTGACCCAAATGCACATCCTTTTTACCTATAACTCAAAATGCTAGGTTAAGTAATCAGAAACCTTGCTAGGTACAAAGTGTGCAGTGGCAAGACAAGGAAATAGAAGTACAAAGATACAGACAGCAGAAGCAGTGCCAGACAGTGCCTAGGAGTGAAAACCAGAAGTCTGAATTTGATATTCCAAAAGCAATAGGTAGGTAGCTGGTGAAAATGAGGAAATGAACAGTGGGGGATGAGGAATGTTTTTAGCAGCTACATTCTGGGGAAAGTGAGGGTGAACAAGGTATAAATCAGGTAGGTCAGAGTGGGGAAGGTTCCAGTGGTCGAAGCAGGAGAAGACAGAAGCTTTCAAAAAATATTTCAGCAGCAGGACACAAGAGGATCTTGAATTTTTTATGAGAGCTGATATGAGTTATATAGCTAGTAAGGGTGGAGAGAAGACAAAAGGATACACACATGACATCACAATACTGAGCTCTCCTGGTTCCATGTGATCACTTATCACCTGTCAGATGTGTAACCCTAAGGATACAGTAATGCAGCCTAAATCAGTGGCAGGAGACACTGCTGTATGAATGCATTGTTATTGTATTACAACAGCACCCAGAGGTCCCTATTAGGATCTAGGATCCATTGTGACAGAGTAGACACTGATCAAACACACAGACACAATGAGGAGTCCTGTGCCACTTTAAAGACTAACATGTATTTGGACTTTTTTGGATCAAACCCACTTCATCAGATGCATTCCACTCTCTATATCTGGTGAAGTGGTTTTTACCCATGAAAGCTTATGCTAAAATAAATCTGTTAGGCTGTGTCTACATTGCACACTTCTTGTGCAAGAACAATTGTTCTTGCACAAAAACTTGCCGGCTGTCTACACTGCATTCGCATTCTTGTGCAAGTAAGTTTACAGTATAGCGTTGGAAAACAGGGCTTCTTCTGGAAGAGTTATTCCTCTCCACATGAGGAATAAGCACTCTTGCACAAGAGCTCTTCCACAAGAGGGTAGTGTAGACAGGCAATATTAATTTCTCGAGGAAGAAGCCCATATGGTTAAAATGGCCATCAGAGTTTTCTTGTGCAAGAGAGCATCCACACTGCCATGGATGCTCTTGCACAAAAGCACATAGCAGTGTGGATGCACCCTTGTGAAAGATTTTTTTGAACAAGAACTCTTCCGCAAAACAGTTCTTGTTCAAAAAGCCTGCAGTGTAGACATAGGAATTTAAATTGCCTCATTGTTTATACAGACACAGACTAATACTACTACCCCTCTGAGACTTAACACTGAGACAGTTTACACCCAAGACAAGATATAGCTAGTGAATGTAAGAAATGGTGAAAGTTAGGAGGGAGAGAAGACACAATTTCCCTTCTGAGGATATGTCTACACAGCAGCTTTATTTGAGAACAACATCCATTATTCTGAAATAACTATGTGAGTTCCTACACAGCTAGTCCATTATTTTGAAATAATTTTGAAATAATTTAAAAATAATGAGCAACTTATTTCAGCATTTGTAAACCTCATTCAACGAGGAATAACGCCTCTTCCAAAGTAGCTATTTCGGAATAGCAGTAGTGTGGATGCTCCACTGCTATTTTGAAATAGCTCCTCCCCCAAGCCATTCAGAGTAATTACTCCCCAGTGCTTCCTGGGGCTCTAAACTGAGGTAGCACATCCACATTAGAGAAGCCTGCCTTGGACTAATTTCCAGGATTCCCTGTAGTGTAGATGTGCTATTTCGAAATAAGGTATTGCGGAGTATTTCTTCTGGAATAGCTTATTCTGAAATAATTGTGCAGTGTAGAGGTACCTAAGAGCTATTTTGGGATACTTCCATTATAGCTATTCTGCGTCATTTGAGCAACTCCATTATTTTGAAGCCTAAGAGCTATTTTGGGATACTTCCAGTATAGCTATTCTGCGTCATTTGAGCAACTCCATTATTTTGAAATATAATGGGCTTACTATTCTGACGTCCATGTAAACCTTGTTCCATGAGGAGCAAGGGACATTTTGGAATAACATTCTATTTTGAAATTTGGCTTTGTGTTGAGTCAGTGCCAGATTTCGAAATAAGCTATTTCGAAATTAACTAGAAATAAGATGTGCAGCAGAGCTCTGTTCAAAAGCTTGTTTCTCCTACCAGCAGAAGTCGATCCAAATACTAAACCCACCTCATCACAGTAATAATCTTGGGACAACAGGGCTACAAACACATTCCAAACAACATTTTTTTTTTAAATACATAGGCATTGAAGCAGGTCCTCCCACTTTTTGTCTGCACAATTGTGCTGTTTATGCAAAATCATAGAATCATAGAATACTAGGACTGGAAGGGACCTCGAGAGGTCATCGAGTCCAGTCCCCTACCCTCATGGTAGGACCCAGTACTGTCTAGACCATCCCTGATATACATTTATCTAACCTACTCTTAAATATCTCACAGATGGAGATTCTTCAACCTCCCTGGGCAATTTATTCTAGTTTTAACCACCCTGAAAGTGAGGAACTTTTTCCTATTGTCTAACCTAAACCTCCCTTGCTGTAGTTTAAGCTCATTGCTTCTAGTTCTATCCTCAGAGGCCAGGAAGAACAAGTTTTCTCCCTGCTCCTTATGACACGCTTTTAGATACCTGAAAACTGCTATCATGTCCCCCCTCAGTCATCTCTTTTCTAAACTAAACAAACCCAATTCCTTCAGCTTTCCCTCATAGGTCATGTTCTCTAGACCTTTAATCATTCTTCTCTGGACCCTCTCCAATTTCTCCACATCTTTCTTGAAATGTGGTGCCCAGAACTGGACACAATACTCCAACTAAGACCTAATTGGCGCAGAGTAAAGCGGAATAATGACGTCTCCTGTCTTGCTCACAACACACCTGTTAATGCATCCCAGACTCATGTTTGCTTTTTTTGCAACAGCATCACACAGTTGACTCATATTTAGCTTGTGGTCCACTATAACCCCTAGATCCCTTTCTGCAGTACTCCTTCCTAGGAGTGGAATGCTTGGAAGGGAAAGGGGGGGGGGGGGAACAGAGAAAGAAGGCAGGAGTGCAGAAGAAGGGGAGGGCAAGATTGCAAAACATCCCCCTTCGTTAACTGGAGTCACACCACGCAGCTCTCCCCACAGAGTCCAACCTTTCCTGGCAGACGGCATAAACTCAGCGGACCCAGGAGTTCTAAATGTTTACAGACTGTTTTAAATTTACAAGCGGAAGACACAATTTCAAAGCGAATTTCGTGGTTCTTTTCCAGACCTCTGTGAACCAGGCTCACTCTGGCTGCGACACTGCTATATAGAGTCTATATAATTGTCTTTAATCTCTCCCCTTCCCGAACTCCTCCACGTTTCTCAACCGGCCTTGTAATTCGGTTTCGCCCTCAATCTGGCACACAACAAGACCGGACATTTCTTTAGAAAATCTGCTTCCTCTCAAACGACGTGTGTTCTAAATGCGTCTGGCTTCTTCCTTGGAGAGAAAGTATTCAGCACACACATCCTTTCCCCTCTAGCTTTTTCCCAGAACAGTCAGCCCTACTCACTTCCGCGCCTTGTTCTGTGGTGCCCCGGCGATACTGCGCCTAGGTGTCTAAACTCTGTGCTAATACCACATTAAATACCCAGGGACTTCAGTGGATTAAATCAATGATACCAGATAGGTCAAGAATTGGTACCTATTTACACAGTACAGGAGAGGACTGAAGGTTTGAATGGAGGGAAGGGGAGGGAAAAGTAAATCGTCGTGTATTCCTGCACACATGTGCAGTGCCTAGTGTAAACGTCCCCTCGGTCAGGGTGGAAGGGTGGGGGTCAGACTGCTGGGCTTGATCCGCTTAGGACGCTTATGCTGCCGATTTAATACCCAGGAGTCGCTGGAGTGAATAGCTGGAGTAGTCTGGGGAAGGTGCACGAGGGAGTTTGTTGGAGAGGAAGTTGCCACTACAGAGAATCGGGCCAACTTCTCCCGGCACAACAGTAAGTCATGCCCTCGGAGTGGGGCGCGTGTGTGTAGGGGAGGGCGGCTACGGGGTTACTCTGTCGGGAACCGCTCGGTCCCAGCATCTCCTCCGGGAGGTAACTGTCCCCCTTTCCCAACCAGAAAATGCCAGCGATCAATATAGAGGATCTGAGCGAAAAGGATAAACTGAAAATGGAAGTGGAGCAGCTCCGGAAAGAAGTGAAGTTGGAAAGACAACCGGTGAGTTCCCCCAGGCTGCCTCTCCCCCCCCCCCCCCCCATCCCCCCCGGGGGAAGGCCGCGGGAATGAGATCTTCGGCTCTCGGGGGGGCGCCCGTTGGAGCGAGTTACTCTGCTTCTTGGCAGCCACTGCCTACAAGAGCCCCTCAGCGGGGCGCCGCGTTTTCACGCGCACTCAAGCGCTCGCTCGCTCTGCGGGAGTGAATTGAGACACGCAGCTAGGTGCCTGCGCGGTTACATGCCCTGGTTAATTTCGCCTCCTAGCAATGGTTCCTCACTGATTGGGGGGAGGGGAGGAGGGGAAAAAGCACAGAAGCGCGATCTCAGCCGGGGGGCAGGATTTCATATACCCCCCCCCCCTCCAGCTCTCTCCTCTTCTTGCCAAAGGAGGAGGTGGGGATTGAAATCTGTCCCAACACCAGAAGGGATGGAACAGACGTGGGAGCCGCGATCTCTTTAAAACATTCGTAACGCCCAATACGTTTTAGTGAGGTTTAGAGTAGTTTCTCCTCACGTCGTTTTAAGTTTCTTATGACTTTGCGCCTGCTACGCTCCGTCACCGAAATCGGAGCCAGTGCTAATGGCATAAAAGGAGGATCCAGACTTATGGAGGAGGGTAAATGTGAGTGATACAGCCTGAGTAAATGTCCCTATAATTGTAGGAGGGAAAGGAGGAAAACATATTAACAGGCTAACCATAGGGTGGTAGCGCTAAATTCGGCATTCTCTGCTGCTAAAACCCCAGGGCTCAGCGAGACTGGGTGTGGTGCGGTTGGCACAAGGCAGCTGAACTGCCCTCTACAGAGGAAATGAAAACAAGGAGCCATTCAGAATATTAAACTGTGGGATAAAATACCCACTCTAGGCTGAACACTGGAATACGTGACCTCACCCCCCTGCCATTTGACAGGAAAATTTTGGAGATGTTCTACAACACAAGATGATTTTGCTGGCTTCTAGAAACAAAGTCCTGTCATTCAATACAGCCTTGCTAGTTAAAACCAAACCAGTTTAAGCCAGTGGTTCACAGACTGGTCTTCAGAGTTTTTTTCCAGCAGCTGGCAGGGCTATCAGGCCAGACACAGAACTTCCTCAGAGGCTGGGAGGAATTCACCAAAGTCTCTTTCTATTGTACAGTGGTCCACAGAAAGACAACGGAAAACTGCTGTTGTAGATCTGTGGTCCCTAAGGACTGATTCAAGAGGTTAAAGGTGTTTTGTTCTTGTTGCTTTAGGAAATTCATTTTGGGAAGTAACATGCAGTCAACAACCTGGGATGTATTTTACCATGCACATTTTCTGTAGATGAACATTCTTAATCCACAGGGTTTGTATGTGCTCCTGTTCCCATTAGAATCATTGAGGAAACTCCTGTTTACTTGGGTGGGAGAAGGATCCTGATCCTGCATCCACTTAAGCAGCAGTATAATTTTACTCACATGTCAGTGGGACTATCCATGTGAATAAAGTTACAGGTGCTTAACTTGTAGGTTCAGGAACTTTGCTTGGAAACAAAATATTGATGTCAGGGTTGTATTTTAGCCCATGAAATAGAAATCAGTGATGTTATTAGACTGATTATAGCACTCTATATTATAACAGATCCCAGAAGCTCTAATAGGATCCACAGTTCTATGCAATATGTAAGCAAGCACATATGGACATCCTGTGCAATGTATAAACACAGGATGATTTCAGCCTCAGAAAACATTGAAGTGACTAAAAAACACTTCATAAGGTGCACATAATCTAGTTTGTTTAAAAAGAAATGACATTATTTTAAATAAACCAAAAGTCTGAGAAATTTAGGAAAAGGCAGAGTCAGGAATCTCAATATTGTCAACAGAGGAAGTGCCCCTTTACCAACATACCTTGTAGGTTGGGGGAAAGATAGCTCCATATTGTCAACACAGGAAGTGCCCCTTTACCAATGTACCTTGTAGGTTGGGGGAAAGATAGCTCAGTGGTTTGAGCATTAGCTTACTAAACCCAGGATTGTGAGTTGTTCTAATCCTTGTATAGGCCATTTGGGGCAAAAATTTGTCAGGGATGGTACTTGGTCCTGCTGCGAAGGCAGGGGACTGGACTTGATGACCTGGGTCCCTTCCAGCTCTAGGAGATAGGAAATTACCATCAATCTTTATTTATTTAGGTTGCACTGTAATACATTCCAGTGTTTTATTTCCTATCCATCTTTTCCCATTATCCATATACATAAATCATACTATTTGAAATGAGAATCTTGTATAGAGCCACATCCCCTAGTCTTCTCATGGACTATAGCATATATGCCTATCAAAGTCCCTTTAACTACAACTGAATGCAAAAAAACTCCTTTATATCATTTTGACATGACATAAAAAGGAAATTTCCATTAAAACAATCTCTCTGGGTAAGTTATGAATAATTAGATCTTATATGATACACTTACTGGCCAGTGGCAAACTTTAGGTTCTTTTTTAAGGCCTGAGGCAGGGGTGGAAAACCTTTTTAAGGTCAGGGGCCACTGACCCACAGAAAAATCACTCAGGGGTCACACATAAGTAAGAAGCAAAACAAACAAACAACTACAAAAAAAACCCTCACTGATTATGGCTTAACTTTCCATAATATATTAGAATCTCTCTATTTTAAGTAGGCAGCTGGGCCTGATCTACTGCGTCTACTCCCATCATCATTCTATTTCTATTATATAACTTTCTATATTACATCCATCACCATAGTAGCTGAACATCTTCCAGTAGTGACTATGCACCTATCATTTGTTGTTTATTTCTCCATTTTCTTTCCTTTTTCTCCATTCAAGCTCATCTGAAGAAGTGGATTTTGCCCATGAAAGCTCATAATATGATATATTTTTATTAGATTCTAAGGGTATGTCTACACTACAGAGAAGATCGAAGCTGTCGCTGTCAATCTTCCAGGGTTGAATTAGCAGGTCTAGTTAAGACAACCAATTCGACCTGAGAAGGGCATTCCAGTCGATGCTGGTAGTCCTGCTTACACGAGGAGTAAGGGAAGTTAAAGGGAGAGTGTTCTTCCTTTGATTTCTCGCAGTGTGGACAGCGCCAAAAGTCGAATTAAGCTACTACGACTTCAGCTACACAATTAACGTAGCTGAAGTTGCGTATTTTAATTCAGCCTTATCTCATAGTGTAGACATACCCTAAAGTGCCACAGGACTACTTGTTGTTTTTAAAGTTACAGACTAATACAGCTACCCCTGTGAGACTCTCCTCTGAAAAGAGAAACATGTGCTATGAAATGCTTAATTTGGAAGGTTTTGTTTGTTTGTGCAAAACACAATAAATAAGCCAGGGGAAGTGCCCATATCCACTAAAATGGGAAAGAATAGGCAGTGTATTATGTTTTCCCTTTTCCAAAAACAATAGAAGTTCCTTCCTGGGGACTCCACCTAACTGTGCCTCTGCAGGGCACTGTTGGAAGTGGGAGGAGGAAGAGCTAGGAAGAAGCAGCTCTATTCAGAATGCAAACTTTCCAGATATCTAATGTATCAGGGAGAATCTGTTGCTTGAATAGGTGAAGCTATGCCCTCCAGAGAAGAGGCACTCAGGCATGAAAGGAATGCATAAACAAAGGGGATCTACATAATCTGTGGGATTTGCCCATGAGATCTGGAGATTGTACCCTTGTTCTCTGTAGGGTTTCAAATCTCTGTCCTTTGGGCGAATACAGACAGACATTTCTCTAGTTTCCCCCCTTCCGTGGCTCTCTAAATTGGTCAGGAGAATACAGTCCCATGAATATTATGGTAGACACTCATTAGTAGCCACATTTCGGTGTCCTTTTGCTATGTTGCTTCTAAGCAGTTGTTGCTGTTATAGGGAGTGTTGACAATTCACAATAGGAAAAGCATTCCCAGAGGAAATGTTGCTTGTAAGAAGCAGTTGCTCTTACAAGGTGTTGCTGCAAATAAGTGTCTATTGGAGAACCACTGTATGCTTGAAAGGATGACGTCAATGTGTTTTTCATATTTTTATGAGGTTGTACTAACTGCTGTTTATAACAACCCTTTGTAACTGATAAAGGAAATGTGCTTCCTTGTTGAATTTTTTGTTCCATTCAACATGCTTGTTATTGTAGAACTACACTGTGACTGTTGGCTTTTGTTATAACAAATAATATAATGATTGGAAAAATATGTAAATGTTATATTGACTTTGGATTCAAGTTCTACTCATTCTGCAATACAAATCAACATCAGTTGTGTGTGATTCTAATGTAATTACATTGATAGTTTTTAGTTTTTAAATTTTAGAATAAGTGGAGGACTTTTATGTGCAATAACTGCAGGCTGTACATAATTCCCACTAAATGCAGATATATGCTTCTACACAGAAGTTTATGTGGATGTGTGATGTGTTAACTATCCTGGATGTACTTTTGCGATGTTGCTTGCAGATTTTTTAAAATACAAAATTTCAAAGTTGAGTGCTGATTTTGGAGTGCAGCTTGAGACATTTTAAGAAGCCTGACTTTCAGAAAGAGGGTGCTTGTATTTTAGGAAAGTTGGACTCCAAAGTATTGCCACATCCAGAATTACTAGTCACTGTTGATTTTTCATTGTCTTGCCCATAAATATGAAATGTGTGCTTGAGAGGGGAACAAACAGCAGACCAAATAAACCATTTATTGACTGGTTCAGAAGAAAAAATACAATTTACAAAACAGTAATGGGAAAAGAAAGAACAGAAACTTGACTTTTAACATACCTTCAGTTGTAGTAGATCACTTGCAGCATCAGGCCCTTTACATATAATGCAAATAGAAGAAAGAGAAAAAGAATATTCTGAAGTCAACTAAAATGACTTTTCTAAAGGGAAATGTGATTGCTATGTATCAAATAGAAACTTATTTCTTTTCTTATTTAAGGTGTCAAAATGTTCTGAAGATATAAAAAATTACATTGAAGAACGATCTGGAGAGGATCCTTTGGTCAAGGGTATTCCAGAAGACAGGAACCCTTTTAAAGAGAAAGGAGGCTGTGTCATTGCATGAAAGAAAAATCTCCTGCAAGTGGAACATACTTATGTTACCTTTAGTCAATAACTAGTTTGTCCTTAGTTCCATGGGTCCTTGTTGAACAAGTACTGTCAATGGATTAAAAGCAACCTTACATGAAAATAGAACGAGAATCCTGTTAATTTCTTTATAATTTTATATGATCTGATATCTCACTACTTGATAATACGTTGTGTTCTAAATATTATGCCCCAGAGGGGATTCTTGCTTAATGTACCAATGGACACTTGCTCGTAGTGACTGTTTAGCAAGTTGTTCCTTGGCTCTTGCGTTTACTAACTCGTTTAAATAAAAACTCTGGCATGTACCAAGCCTTTGGTGTTACTCTAGTCTAGAAAAAGCTATGCAAAAAACCTTGTCACAAGTTTGCATGTGCGTTGAATGCGTGGGGCACACCCTGAACTACCCAGCTCCTTTCGCACCCGAGAGCAAAAACTGCTTCGGGGCCAAGTGAAGGCCGAACAAGTGGATTGTTTAAAATTGAGCCACGCTGCACCAAAAAGGAAGAGGAACATCTTTCACCCCCCAAATTCAAAGGCACAGAGCAGCAAGCTGGGTCCCCGCCGCAATCAGGTGCAGCTTGCAGCGCCTGTCCCAGCCGTATAAACTTCCCTGGCAGGGAACAGCTGGCAGGCTGCGGGGGGAGGGGCACGTTGTGGGTTGCTCCCCGACTGGGGCACAGCTGGAAGGGCGGCGCTAACAGAACGCGCAGCGCAGGTGACTCCCGGCTGTGCCCCAGCCTCCCGCCCCCAGGCCGCGGCCCCCGCTGCAGGCGCTGGGCGGCGGCCACTGCGCATGCGTGTTGCTTCCTCTAGTACAGCCCTCGCCATGGCTCGCTGCTGGTTTGGCCTGCGGGCGCGTGGGGCTTGGGGCCAGGGGCTCTCTGTGCTCTGCGGCCCCGCTCGGCCCGGCAGCTCAAGCTGCGCCTCTGCAGCCTCGGGAGAAGGAGCCCACTTGCTGTACACGCGGGAGCATTACGCCGTGAGGGCGTCTCTGCGAAAGGTACCAGCCCGGGGGCGGCTCCCTACAGCGGGAACCCGTGATCGCGAGGCCCCAGCTGGCTCTGACTCGCCTCTCCAGCCCCCTCCGTCAGCTGTGTCCCCCGCCTGCCTTGCCAGAGCCTGCATTCCAGATGTTGGTTGGGGAGGGAGAGGAAAACAACTTCCCCTGTGATTGCAGAGGCTAGGTGGGAACTTGCAAACTTTAGTTTTGGGGCAGCTAGTTTAGCAGCTGGCAGGCCCCTGTATCTAATGCCCGGTGGTATAAAAGAAAGACACGTATATATTAAATAAACCATCTTGTTAGTCTTTAAAGTGCTACATTGTCCTGCATTTTGCTTCAATTACCCCAGACTAACACGGCTACATTTCTATCACGTATATATTAGACTCACTCAGCTCCGCTCACCACGTGATCTGACATCTTGTGGCAAGTCACTTAGGGGGCATGATTAGGGTTAGAATTTTACTATATATCTTCACTTTGTTAGCATGGACGGTGGGTGAATGTAGGGCTGTGGGATGGAAGCCTCCAGCCCTACCCCTTCTGCCGGAGGCTCTGCCCCCCACTGCTAGGGCAAGCCTCCAGCCCTCCAGGGGTGCCTCCCCATCTTCCCTGGGACACAGGGAGGGCATTCTGCCCTAGAATCCGCACAGGTGAAGCCTGGATGGTCTGCAGATGGAGTGTGGGCATGGCCATGCCTGGCAGTTTGGGATGGCATTACCTTCCCCCACTACTTATACCTGCTTCCCATGTATGTTACTAACCGCATGGCAGGAGACCCTATCAGAACTCCTGGGCTCCATCTCAGCTCTGGGAGGGCAGTGAGAGCTAGCCTGTTACAGCAGAAGCAGATACATTTGGGTTCTATAGAAGAACATTGAAATTACCATGCTGAATCAGACCAAAGATCCATCTATCCCAGTATTCTATCAGTAGCTAATGACAAGTGCTTCAGAGGGAGTAAACACAGTAAGCAGTTGTTGAGTGATTTATCTCATTACCCATAGCCAACTGCTGGCAAACTGAGGCGAGGACCATGCAGAACATGGTGTTCAATCTTTGCCAACATTGACTAATAGTAATTGAGGAACCTAGTCTATGTGAACTCAGCTAGTTCTTTTTTGAACCCTTTTATAATCTTGGCCTCCTCAATATCTTCTGGCAAAGAGTCCCACAGCTTGACTGTGAAGAAATTCTTTGTTTTAAATCTGATGCCTGTTAATTTCATTGACTCCTAGTTCTTGTGTTATGTGAAGGAGTGAATAACACTTCCTTCTTCCATTTCTTTCATGAATGTATAGACCTCTGTAATATCACCCCCTTAATCATCTCTTTTCCTAATTAAAAAGGTCCAGTCTTTTTAATCTGAACACATTCCATATGAGGAAAGAACTACTAGTAATTTCTAGAGATGTAGCCGTGTTAGTCTGGTCTAGCTGAAACAAAATACAGGACTATGCAGCACTTTAAAGACTAACAAGATGGTTTATTAGGTGATGAGCTTTCATGGGCCAGACCTAATAAAGCTCATCACCTAATAAACCATCTTGTTAGTCTTTAAAGTGCTGCATAGTCCTGATTAGTAATTTCTATTAGGGATGTAAAATCCTGTTTAACTGGTTAAACATATTGTTTAACTGATTAAAGAGGAGGTGGGAGGGCTTCACCTGCCACTGGGCTGGAGGTTCCCCCCCCCCCAGCAGGGATTACCCTAGTCCGGCCTGAGCAGTCCCTGCCTCAGAGACACCCAGGCCCACTGTGGACATAAGATGCTTCAGCCTAGTTGGAGCAGTCCCTGTGGCCCTCATGCTTGTGGGATGTCCAGGGCTGTCATGGACAGAGGTTGCTCTGAGGGGCTGGAGCAACCCTCTGTCTTTAGTGAGAAGGGAGCTGCTGTAGTCCCCACTGGTAAACTGGAACTCGTAAGTATCACTCGTTAAGATTAACCAGTTAATCTTCCACATCCCTAAATTATGTTGCCCTTCCCTGTATCTTTTCCAAATCCAATATATCGTTTTTGAGCTGCGAGTGACCAAATCTGCACTTGGTATTCAATATGTGTGTGCACCATTGATTTATATGAATGCAATATATTTTCTGTCTTATCTAATTATCTACTTTCCTAATGTGTCTCAATATTCTGTTAGTTTTTTAGATTGCTGCTAGACACATAGCAGATGTTTTCAGACAGCTATCCACAGCGACTTTAAGATCGCGCTACTGATGGGTTCAGCTAATTTAGACCCCATCAGCTTGTATATATATTTGGGATTATATTTTGCCATCTGCATTATTTTGTCTTGATCAATATTGATTTTTTTTGGCCATTGTGTTGCCCAGTCATCCTGTTTTGTAAAATTCCTTTGTAACTCTTTCCAGTATGTTTTGGACTTAACTATCTTGAATACATTCTGTATTATCTACAAATTTTACCATCTCACTGTTTACCCCTTTCCCCAGATCATCACTGAATATGTTGAACAGCACAGGTCCTAGTAGAGCCCCCCTTGGTACACTACTATTTAATTCTCTCCCTTCTCACCATTTATTCCCACCCTTTGTTTCCTATCTTTTACCCAGCCGGTAAAAATGCTTGGGATTCTTCCGTCCCAAGTGCTGGACTGTTCACATGTCCTTGTTGAACCTCATCAGATTTCTTTTGGCCCAATTCTCTAATCTGTCCAGGTCACTCTGGACCCTATCCCCGTCGTCCAGCTTATCTACCTCTTCACCTAGATTAGAGTAATCTGCGAACTTGCTGAGGGTGCAATCCATCCCCTCATCCAGGTCATTAATAAAGATACTGAACAATACAAGTCCAAGAACAGATCCTTGGGGCACTCCGCTAGAAACTGACCGCCAACCTGACATCGAGCTGTTGATCGCTCCACATTGGATCCGACAGTCTAGCCAGCTTTCTGTCCATCTTTACAGTCTATTTCTCCAATCCATACTCCGTTAACTTGCTAGCAAGAATATTGTGGGAGACCATATCAAAAGCTTTGTTAAAGTCAAGGTATATCACACCCACTGACTTTCCCATATCCACAGAGCCAGTTACCTCATCATAGAAGCTAATCAGTTTGGTCAGGGCACGACTTGCCCTTTGTGAATCCATGTTGACTATTCCTGATCACTTTCCCCTCTTCAAAGTGCTTCAAAATGGATTCCTTGAGGTTCCCCTCCATGATTTTTCCAGGGACTGAGGTAAGGCTGACAGGTCTGTAGTTCCCTGGATAGTCCTTCTTCCCTTTTTTAAAGATGGGCACTACATTTGCCTTTTTCCAGTCATCCGGGATCTCTCCTGATCTCCACGAGTTTTCAAAGATAATGGCCAAAGTCTCCGCAATGACATTTGCCGACTCCGCAATGACATTTGCCAACTCCGTCAGTACCCTCAGATGCATTAAATCCAGGCCCACGGATTTGTGTACATATAGCTTTTCTAAATAGTTCCTAACTTGTTCTTTCCCCACCAAGGACTGTCCACTTCCTTCCCATATAGCATTGCCAGGTGCATTTGTCTGGGAGCTGACCTTGTCCGTGAAGACAGAGGCAAAGAAAAAATAGAGTACCTCAGCTATTCCCACATCATCTGTCACTAGGTTACCTCCCTCATCCAGTAAGGGCCCCACACTCTCTCTGATCACCCTATTATTGCTAACATGCCAGTAGAAATCTTGTTGCCCTTCGCGTCCCTTGCCAGCTGCAATTCGAATTGTGCTTTTGCCTTCCTGAATACTCACCTGCATTCTCGAGCAATATATTTATACTCCTCCCTAGTCATCTGTCCAAGTTTCCACTTCTTGTAAGCTTCCTTTTTGTGTTTAAGCTCACCATGAATGTCCCTGGTAAGCTGGCTGCCTACCATATTTGCTTTTCTTGCTGCACATCGGGATGGTTTCTTCCTGTGCCTTTAATAAGGCTTCTTTAAAATACTGCCAGCTCTCCTGGCCTCCTTTCCCCTTCATGTAAGCATCCCAGGGAATCCTGCTCATAAGTTCTCTGAGGGAGACACAGTCTGGTCTTCTGAAGTCCAGGGTGTGTATTTTGCTACTCTCCTTTCTTCCTTTGGTCAGGATCTGAAATCTACCACCTCAATCACTGCTTTCCAGGTTGTCACCCACCTCTACTTCCCCTACTAGTTCCTCCCTGTTTGTGAGCAGCAGGTCAAGATGCGCACGGCCCCTGGACAGTTCCTTTAGCACTTGTACCAAGAAGTTATCCCCAACATTCTCCAAAAACTTCCTGGATTGTCTGTGAAATTTTCTCCTCCTTTTCTCTCCCACCTGTTCTTCCTGAACAATTT